TTAGTTGAAGTTTGTTTTTAATGATGACATTTTTTTAATTGAAAATGTAAGTAAAATTGCATTGGTTTTTTTTTAATTTACGTAATTTTATTTTTTGAACAGATATAAGACATTCAAGAAAACTTAATAAATATAACTCGATCTCTTATTTTGTGATATGTATAGTTGGAATATAATAAATATAATATTAAAAAGTTTAGAACATGTTTAATTTCAAATATTATTAGTTTATCATATTTGAAAGTAATGGAGTCATTTGACTAATTTATTCTTTTTCAATTATTATTTTTAATCAAAAATTTGCAAAAAAAATTTAACTTTTTTATTAGAATTATATTTTTTATAAATATAATTTTACTTTAATGATTATTTTTTATATTAAACATAGATTAGAGAAAATTAATTATATTATTTTTATTAAAATTTAAAATTATTTCTTACGTTAAAAGCATGATTAACAACATCATTTCCTTTTTGTAATATTTTAGTGTAATTTTTATTGAAATTTATGTACATTGTGTATTTAAAAATTTCTTGTGATATGCAATTGTTTACGTAATTCTTTTTGAGTTTAAAACGTGGGGTAAGGGTGGAGGGGATGTGCGGGCGTTCGAACGCTCGCACATCCCCGCCACGTGGGCCTCCTAAGGCCCACGTGGCGGGGCTTAGGAGCACAAGCTGTACAGTCTGCTAAACCGTCGTAGTGGACCCCCGACTCTCACATGGCAACGACTCGAGAGAGCAAGTCCTCCCCGAGCGTCTCTTGCTGAAGTCGAGTCTGGGGTCCACTTCTAATTCTTTTTGAGTTTACTCAATATAATAACGTCATTCATTTTTATAGCAAAATATTTTATTTTTTAACTTTTTGGAGGTGAGTTTAATAATTGGTATCATCCTGACACTTTTTTTGCAACGAAACTAATATCTATATGAAAAAATATTATAAATTTATAATATTAATATAATATTAAATAATATAAATTTATAAATAAATTTAAATAAATTCTTCCTTAATCCATGAAAACTTATCAATAATATTATATTTTTTTTATTTAGTTAGATAGATTGCAAAATAAATTAATTTTATATCTTCAATATGTGATGGATTTGTGGTTTGTAAAATGTTTCGCTTACAAGAAGTAGTATCATGAAATCTCTAAAAGAATGGTATACCTACGACTTATTATTGCAATCCAACTAAATCATTGTTTAATTTTTATATTTTATTTATTTTTAATTTTTATGTTCAAAATTTTCAAATTATTTTTATTCAATTTATTTTTAGAATATAATTTTATTGGTTTTAAAATATAATGTTATTTTTATTTTTATTGATTTTTTGTCTAAATTTTATTTTTGTAATCTTAAATTGTTATGTATTTTATTTTATATAGAAATAATAAAATGAACACCTTATACAAAATTTTGGTTTCACATATCTAGGTCTAGTTCCAAATCTACTTCTAATACGATATTTACTCCATTGTTTTTTATTAATACAGATTTACCTCATCGAGTTCATGTTTTCTGCTGATTTAGGACGTGTCGATGTTGTAAACATCGGATTCAAAGATTCATTTCCTCTGCAACTTGATGCTTCTAGCAACAACTCCAGCGACACACTTCCGCTACCACAATCTCAACTTTTGGCTCTCTCCTACAAAAACGGTCATGACCTCTTAATAAGATTCTGCTTTTATGCATAAACTATGAGGTTTGACTAATTGTTGAGTTTTCAAAAAAACCTTTTAGATTTTAAATCTTTTGAAATCTAAAAAAAAATAAATAAAATTTTTGCATGAATTTTAAAAATATATTTTTGAACATACACAAATTTTTTTAAGTGCATTAAAAATATTTTTGGTTTTATTTTAGCAAAAAATAATAATTTTTTACAAAAAATAATTAAATAAATAAATATTTTATTTAATTTATATAGTCTTATTCAGTTTCAAAGTATTGTATTCATGTGACGGTGGTGTGTTAGTGTGTTTTTTGATATTAAAATAATTTACAACATGTGAAAATTTTAAATATGCATAAAATACTAAAAGCTAATGTAGTTTTTCTGTATATAAAGTTTTTAATTCATCATGATATTAAACTTTATGTTCACTTATGGTGAGTATATATTTTAGATTATTTATAAATTAAGTATGTGTACAAATGTTGATTATTTGTATACATAAAGTAAGATTAAATGATATAGTAATTGCAAGATAAATGTAGAATATAAAACTGCTTGGCAATTATATAATTGAGTTGAAAATTTTTTCAAAATGATGGAAAATTTTTGAATTAAAAATAAAGTAAAATTGCATAGGTTTTTATATATATGTAATTTCATTTTAAAACATGCATAAGACATTATAGATAATTTAATAAAAAAAAGTCATTCTCTTATTTTGTGATATGTATAGTTTGAATATAAAAAATATGATATAAAAATTTTAGAATATTAATATTTTATTATACATGAAAGTAATTGAGTCATTTGATTGATATATTCTTTTTTAATTATTATTTTTCATCAAAAATTTCAAAATTAAAAATTACTTTTTCATTTTAATGATATCTTTTATAAATATAATTTTACTTTAATGATAATTTTTATATTAAACATAGATTAAAGAAAATTGATAAGGATTATTTTTGATTGAATTTTATAATTATATCATACATTGAAAACATTATTGAGAACATCACATCATTTTTCTCATGTTTGCAATACTTCTATGTTATTCTGATTGGAATTTATAGACATCGTGTAGTTGTAAATTTCTTGTGATATGCAATTATTTTCCGTAATATTTATTCAGGCAAATTCATATAATAACGTTATTAATTTTCATAGCAAAAAAAATTATTTTTGAATTTAATAACTCATGACGTCTAAAAATGTTTTTTTGCAAAAAAATTAATCTCATATATGGAAAAATATTATAAATTTGATTACATTTATTTTTCCTTTATCCATGACAACTTATGAATAATATTATATTGTTTGTTATTTAGTTAGATAAATTGCAAACTTTTTGGCCAAGTTTGTGAAAATTTGGGAAAAATTAAATTGAGTTTTATCTTTTCATTATTTGATGCACATATCTCTGGAACGGAAAATGTTTCTTTCAAAAAATAGAGCCATGAAATCTGAAAATAATTGTATAACTACAACTCATTGTTGCAATCCACCTATTAGTCATTTCAGGCATAAATTTTTTTGTTCGATTATAATACTTTCGTGGTGGCTTTTCAAAACATTTATTATGAATGAAACTAAAAAAAATAAAATTTCACTCTTTCATCCCTTTTGATTATTCAATCTATTGCTTATTACATTCATTTACAAAAGTTCTTTTATTTTAGTTTGGTATCACATGTTGGAACGAGGCAACGAGTAATGATAATCCGACTCGTTTGGGACAATTCCAGCGTTCACTAATGTCGGTGTCTTCCGGGAATTTCGAGACGAATTCATGGTTGTCAGGAAGTTCATTGATCTAAGTACAAGGTTTAGGGGAGGGGATAGGAAAGGGTATTTTCCTTCTTATCTCTAGCTCCAAGTACCCGTTAGATTTTATTTGTTAGATATGACGACCAAGACTGCTACGACTTCGACAGTGAAACTCAACGATGAGAAAAAATGTTATTTTTCTGGATGGATTCTCGTAGTCCTGTTCCGGCGGCATTTTCCTTTTTGATGCGCACAATTATACGCGATGTACTTTTTCCTTCCGCATTCATATGTTTTGCCTGAGGCACTCAAGAGAGTTCAAAGGACATGCACAGAATCTCCGTGAACGAAGGGAGAGGCAGCATCCAAACGCACCAAAGAGGCAGTTACATCGATGAAGTAAATGATATCTTCTTATCTTATGAAAGTTAGAATATATAATTTCATCTTGGAAAGTCCTTATTTTAAACCCTAATGCTGTTATAAGGACGAATCTTTTATGAACGCGTGGACCTGCAAACCGGGAAACTATGCAATTTTCCGACTCTTCCCTATTGGATGTGTTATATATATATATATATATATATTACATTCATCAAACGGAAAAAAAACATTCATCCGCATCTTGTGCGCCGAAAGCATGCGCCTCTCGGCGTGTGATGGAAACCTTTTCCGTGTTGGCCCGTTCCTCTTTAGATGTGATGAAATATATAAATACTTCAGCATGCTCCTGTTCTTCCGTCGTGGATAAAGTGTTTAGGGAATTCCACGAGGTCACGCGATCGACGACTGTAAGAGAAGATGCTCGCTCTGATTCGTCGGGAGACGGCGTGTGGCCGTCCATCGGGCCAGGAACACATGGCCCTGCCGAGTCGGAGAACTGCGAAAGTGACCGGCAGATTGAAACGGCAGCGAAAGCTACGTGGCCGTCTCTAAAGTCAGAGACAACTTGACAAGAACCTTATTATAACGGACGCTACATCCTCATCTAGTAAGCCTAGATTTGTCGGACCCGGGCCGTGAGATGGAAATCGGACGGCGAGGGGGGGCTCCCGGTCGCGTCGACGATGCAGCCAAAATGGAGATACCTGAGCACAACATCAGCGGGAGCGAACGGCATGGACCGGGGGGCCCTTTTAACGACTTGGTTGTAGATCTCGAGACGGTCCAATGGCACCCGACGGCCAGGAACCTCGATAGTCCGGCAGACGGACACAAACCATCTGTCAGCCCGTCGTGACACGCGGCGGCGCGGTCCGGGACAAGGGAGGACGGTCGAAAGGGGTCGGCCAGTCGGCCTCGCGCATCGACGGCGCGCGCTCGGACGGAGGCGCCGATCGGACGGCGGTCCTCGGACGGTGTCCACGGGACCCGTTGCGGGGGCGATCGCGGGCCGACCGGGCAGGGCCGGGGAAAAACTGGCCCCCACATTCCGCTCGCTGGCCAGAGTCCTCAATAACCAGGCAAACGTATTTATAACGCGCTCTCGCCTGCTCCGCTTGCTCGCCTTTCCCTGCTGCCTCGCTCGCCCGCCCCCGGCCCCCTCCCATGAGTCCCATCCGATCCCATCCCCCACCCGATTCCTGCCTTACCTTCCCTTCCCTTGCTCGCCTTCGCTGGGCTTGCCTGTCATCCAAGTGCATGAGCGAACAAAGAAGTGAGCGCAGGCAGCCCCGCTTGGCACATCATCATCCAGCCCTACTTCCTTGTGACCTCGTCTGTCTGCTGCTGCTGCGACTCTTTAGCAGGCCATTCCATTCCATTCCATCCACATGCCGAGCCATTCTTATAAGAGCGAGCAAAGCTCTCTCATAAGACGCTCCGCTTGCGTTGCGCTCGTGCTTCTGCTGCTCCTTGTGCATTAGAAAATAGAGCTGCCACCTGCAAGTGCGCAGCGGGCCTCAGAGCTCGACGAGCATTCGGCCACTTGTTGGCTGCCGCCATTGGTTTGGAAATCCTTTCCCAGCGCGATCTGCTTGCCGATCCGCGGTTTGGTCTGCGCACGCACGGATTCGGGTGCCGTTGATGAGGTGCGAGGCAGGGCAGGGGCCGAGAGAGGGTGGGAGGGAGAGGAAAGAGCTGAGCGTCTCATCGGGCCGAGGTTCTTTGTCTGCCTGCCTGTCTCGGTGATGCTTCACGATTTCGTGGAGATTGCCCTCTTTTGTTGGTCGAGGTGTGGCGACTTCGGGGTTGTCGGTGTCCTGCCTCTTTCCCGTCTCACGCCCTTGTCTCTGTGAATGGTCTCTAACGCGAGACCATCACTGACCTTCACTTCGGCCCCTGTTTGTTTCCACATTACCCCTCTCTCTTTGCCAAATTTGAGGAGTGGGCGGAATTCCAGTATTTTTTTCAGTCCCTGTTGTAGGAAACCCTCTGACAGGGATCTTCGTGGGGAATCCACTTGCATTGGCGTTTCAAGGATTGAGACTGCCCATGCGAGCGTCAATGCCTCGGATAGACAATTCAGACCTTTAATTCTTGCCGCCTCTCCCTCGTCAAAAGCGAGGTTTTAGCAGCCTTGTGTCATTGGGCCCATTTCATTATTCTTCATTTGAGATATGCCAGATCAAGAGCCTGAACTCCCGGTTTTCTAGGACTGAAGCATTCGATCCCAGTTACTTTCTACCGCAACACGCGGGACGTGTGGTTGAAGACGTTATAGGGTTCTTGTCGATTATAAGTCGAGTCCAGAATTTCACTCAGCCGGGAGCGCTTTGGAAGCTGAACACAGCAGCGAAGATATTCTGCGAGGAATCGGCTCTTTGAGCTCCGAAAGGCGGAACAAGGAGGATTGCAGGGTAGCTTCAGGTTTCCAAAATTAGTCGAATGGCGCAAGTCAAGGGGCAGCCGAAGGAGAAAGAGCCTCCTACCAGCGTAACAAGTGTGTACCTGCACGTCGTGGAGGACGTCATTCAAAATGTTCGGACAGATTTTCAGAGCGAGGGCGTAGATGAAAACGTGCTGAACGAACTTCAAGCGGTGAACTCTCTTGACCATTCTTTCTCCTCTTCACTTATATCATTCACAACTTGCTCATTTTTTAATGAATGGCCTTCGAAGTGAGAGCAAAAGCCATCGCCTTGTTCAAAGTGGATGCTTGCCTCCGAAAGTCCACCGCTTGCTTGTCGTGAGTCGCGTACTTTGAGGTGCCTGTATAGAAATGTTGTCGGAACTGGAGACTGAAGGTAGGTTCCTATTCTCTCTATCTCGTCCAAACGGATATTTTAATGCAAGTTGTTCTTATGACTTGAATACACTGCTGTTAATTGTTCTTCACTAGTGAACTGTAATTTTGCTCTTAAGCTGCTTGTCAAGAAGCAACCAGGGTCTCCTTAACGAGTGAATTCTTCAAGTATGGATTCTGAGTTTGTTGTCTTAGAAGCCACTGAGCTGATTTACTTTCAGTCAGCACTTTCAGGTCAGTGATGGTGTCCCTTCTTGTCCTGATCAAAATTCATATTGAAGTGTATGGCTCCTTTTCTATGGGAGAGACGGCAGTTTCTATCCACTTTTCAGATCATTAAAAATAATTCTGGGCTCTAGAATTGCTTGAACGCCTCTACTGGGAGCCAGAGATAGGAGCTGGTGAAGCTGCCTGTTACTTGTGATGTAAAGGCTAACGCAATGCTATGTTGTTGTAGAAGAACTCTGGGACGGTGCATTGCCACCTCCCTATACATACGGACCACTGTGAAGTCACGATTATTCATTCCATTATTATTGTCTATACTTTTTATTCTCGTTTATTTGGGACGATCGTTCTGGGTCCAGTTTATCCGTTATCTCCCTTGGTTCGTGGTCATTTCTCTAACTCACTGAAAGTGACACATGCGTGACGTAATTTCAGTTCATAATGCACCAGGGAGTAATTAGTATTGTTTTTACTCAGCTTCCATGCTGCCTCAGCATCCTCCCAATTGTTTTCCCCTCGGGATTCTCTGGTCTATCCCTAGCCGCTCAAGCATGATAGTTGTAAGCCTCGAGAAGGTCTGGAAGTTACGAGAGCCGCATAATTTCGAAGCACCTCTTGCACTTTCTGATTCCACAATAGGAGTGGGTACCACTATACCACTGAGCAAACGTTTCCTTCGGAAGAAGAGGAGAATCACTTTAATGCCCCCGAATTTTGATTATACCAATTAAAGATGAAATCCTCCACCTTGGGTACTTGCCTGAATATTATAATCCAGAGCAGGGGCTATCTCTTAAACACCAAGAAGTACAAGATGGACCTCAGCCAAAACTGTACCCTGTAAGGAGGTGTGTACTCTCGATTCAAAACCAAATAGGCCCTGCCTTCTTGCTTGACTCGTTTCGGTTTTAAGTCCGGATTTGCTATATGAAAAGTCGGTCCATTCGAAGCCTTCTTAGCTAAGTATGAAACGTGAGGACAGACATGCGACTGTGCCAGTCGTAGTAATCCTTTTTGTCATTGGATACCGTTGTCGAATTCTGCTTCCTTCTGAACCAGTCGATTTTGTAGCACTGTCTATCGTGGGTTCTTCGGTAATCGCTCAGCTGGGAAAGGCTCGACTTTAACGAACTTCGTCTTGTTCAGCGTCTTTTGTCGAGATTTGGCAAACAGTCACAACGCAGACTAACCTGGGTTCTTTCGCAATTTGACAGTTATGGGAATTGAAGATGATGCAAGCTGGTGCGATTCAAGGAGGACCACCAACAGAGGCTGCACCAGCACCAGTACCTGCCCCAGCAGCACCTGCCAAGGGAGTCGCTGCCCCAGTTACTCCTGTCCACGACCTGAACGTGCCCTATGAGGCGACTGAGGAATATCAAACTCCAACTGTGGAGATGCTTTTCCCTCCTGTAAGCTGAATTTTCTCTTCTTTTGCTTGTCGAATTATGCTGCCAGGACGAACAGCAATTGGATTTTACACAAGTACTCCTTCAAGATTCGAATATATTCCTGTTACGCTTCCTGCTCTTCACCCGCGTGGACTTTGTTTGAACCTACCATTTCATTGTAGTTTTTTCTACTTCTGAATTTCATTGTAGTTTTGTGTTAAGTTTTCTCATCGTCATTACTAAACGATGCTGGATTTCACAAGACTGACGAGTTGATGACTCATTTAACCCGATCCTCTTCACAAGACAGACTGACGTTTGCGCTTGTAGATGAACAAGTGGCTTTAAAGTAGATCATGTCTTGTTTAATATAGGTGTGCTAAACAAAGTAGCAGCCTTCTCGTAATTAATCTGCTGGAGTGGTCATGACCTTCACCACAGACTCCGCAGGCAATGACGCCACAGGTCATGACACCTCTCGCGATGACTCCTCAAGCCATGACTCCACAAGTTGATGTTATGACACCAATCTTGGATATGCCTTCGCCTGCTTTGACAAGCTCCGGGGAGCCGATTATGTTTCAGTACTTGCCTGCTGGTCCAAGTGATTCTGGAGCCGGTGGAAATGGCTTGGACCTGGATACCAAGCTTGGGAGGCCTTCACCTTACATGGTAGTTGTATGCCCCTTGTTAACTTTCTGTATATGTGCTCGTGACGTTGACTTTTAGATCACCTAAGTATGGGCAGGTATTACCTCACTTTTAGAGTGCTTGTGCAATTATACTCTTTTCATTCTTCTCATTCTTTTCATTTCTTGTGTTTGTAAATTCAGCAGCAGCCTAGTCCCTGGATGACCAAGCAGCGGGGTGTGGATGTAAATATAGGTGAGTGCCGTAATCTGTAACGTTTGTCAAGCAGGAGTCAACTGAAGATCATCTTTTTCCTGGGCTTTATTTATAAGTCCCTTTGTTCTCATTACTTCACCTAACTATTTGAAAAGGCCTCCATGAAGGAGTTCAATCTTTAACTGAAGAAGAAACGTGAAGTTCTTTATATCATAGATTACTTTGTTGTGGTTCTGGTGGTAATACGGCCTTTAAGGTTTAAGCTTCAAGCATACATTGATCACGTACATTTCTGTATTATTTTTTCTCAAATAATGGAATGCCTAGGTTTGTGTCTTGGACTTCAAGATTTCTCTTCTAAGCTCTAGTTCATTAAACTGGGATGATATCTTCGAATAATGTATTATTGAATCTTAAAGTTCTAGTATATTTTTGCGTTGTGTTTAATCGGTCTTACATACTCATTGTTTCAAGTAATAATATCTCTAAGTGTACATATTTAGTTGTCTCATAAAATTTGTGGATTTCATAGCTTGTCTGGCTATAAAATTCGCGTGCCTGCCTGAGCGGTGCAAGTAGTGAAACACTAAGAAAATATTTAAAATTTGAATCAGCATGGAAAGAATCTTGTTTCTTATAGAACGTCGTATTACTGTCAGCCTATTGTCCTCGCTCTTTTCTCTATCACCAAATTTTCTATGACGACGAACCAAAAGAATGTCCACTTGTGTGTATTAGATATGAATGCGGCTTACGAGGAAGGTCAAGAGGAGGACGAATATGGACAACAACCAGTTACAAAGGTGAGTGATGTTCTTGTCTTTTTGTGATATTACGCAACGTCTAAGTAGCAGTAACTCTTAAGTAGACTTTTGGCGGTTCGCTTACAATCCGATAGTTTGTAAGAGGTTGCTTGCAGTTTTACTCCTTTTCCATATGCATACTTTTTTCCATCTACCTTCTCAAATAATTCAAATTTAAATTGGGAAATCCTTTTAGTATATGGTGCGTGGACATTAATAATAGTTTTCGGAGAACAGGACTTCTTCCATCTGTCGACAGGAAAGCGAAAGCGAGAGGACATGACTACTGGTTCTTACATTCAAGGTTACAATATCCCTCAAGGAGATGGAGCACATCAGGCTCTTCCCTCTCATCTGGTAACACTCGAAAACTAACGATGATAGTGGAAGGATTGAAGGTGCATATTGATTGCGATTGTTTTTATTTCAGGGCATTTGTCTTAGGACGCTCTTCAAGTAACTAAAATACCAGTAAACTTGTTCAGGATAAATCATATGCTGCAGAATGGACTTCGCAAAGATCAGCCGCAAAGAACCCTGATCCCAGATTATGGAGGCAGGAAGCTATTGTCGCGGATGCTCGTGTAGCTTCCTTGGTGGGAGAAACTACAACTTCTAGGGAAATTCCACAGCAGGATGGCATGGATGACGACTACGATGATGTAAGTGCAGTTCACTGTGGCTGACAGTATTTGTCTTCTGGATCTAAAGCATGATCTCGTCATTTAGAGAAAATAATGTACTGTGTTGTTACAGCACAAGAAATTCTCTTCACACATGATTTTTGAGTTGGAGACCAGAACTCGCTTTGTAGTTTGCCGTTCATGCTCTATGGTCAGCAGCGATACTAGTTGATATTGCTGATAATCCACTACATTCTGCGACGTTCATATCTCAATTAGCCACATTGTCGATCAGAGTTGAACCTGCACTTTTGAAACTTAAGTTCGGGACGTGACAAAGCTAATATCTCAATATAAGATATCTGTCTCACGCTCCTGTATAACAGGAGCCCTCTAGCTCTGACAAATGAATCACTAGTAACTGTGTTTTTTCAAACTCATTTTGCCCGTGTGAGGTGATTTGTGTCAATGGAATGAGGACTTCCTGAGATTATTGTGATAGATGCAGTTACGGTTCTCGTACAGAAACTGGAAACCACACTTCTCTCCAGCTGGGTCTCGAACTAGCCATCTGTAATCTCTCTTGGATGTTCTTCGTCTGAAGACATGTCCATAACCGGTGTCTTCCTTATCAATCACAAGAAGACCAACATTACGCAATTTGCACAACGTGGGGCAAGGATGACGAAACTGTAGTGGATTGCATTATCTGATGTAATGCAGCCGATGCACTCATTTGAGCGTTATTCTTTTCGTACATTTGCCTATGGCTGGAGTCTAAGCTGCATATTGAATTTTCGAGTTTTGATCCTAAGGCCAAAGCAGCCGCACCTTTTGAACCGTAGCTACTGGGGCTTTTGTAACTGTCAGTTGGAGGAGTTGGTGAAGTTTCATGCTTGATACGAAACTCGGAAAGTGAGCTCATCCTAGACAATTATCCCCTTCACCATAGTTTTACGCCGCTCTCAAGTTCATCTGGAACATGTTTGAACCTTGCTAGAACGGTAGATCATTGTGAGCTTCTGGCTGTAGGGAATTTTATATAGCAGCCTCTATGTCTAGCTGCATCAAATGGTGCAAGTTGTATGAGCATCGAATATTAAGATAGAGCAAGGATACATTCAGCTTTTAGACATGCTAAAATAAAAGACTGGATGGCAAGTAAATAGACAGGTTATGCGGTTCTGTGCAGCCGATCTATCTGAGAAATTCCATCATCGTCACGTCTTAAACCCCGCTTGCTTTTATTGCTTAGATCTACAATCTGACGATCCTCGTCCCACAAGTTATCAGTAGCGGAGTTCAGGATTGTAGAGCCTTAGAGGGATATAAGCTCACAGGATGTCTTGCATCTAACTTTTCGGCTAACAAAAGAGCTTCAAGCGGGGAGGGTGAGTCTTGTGGACAGGTTTAGCATATATGCAAATGTCAAATACACCGTTGTATCAGGCACTACCTTAGAAAGAGCTTCTCTTGTTGCACGTCCCGTGTTTGTGCTCCTCGGTCTCCTTGCGCTTGAAGTCCTTGCTGTGTATCACGTCTCACTTTAAATGTTGATAGTCGTCTGCTTACAAGCTAAATTTACAAGCTCATGCTCTTTCGGGTAACCTTACCCTCTGATTGACATATATGTTGCAGGGTGTTGCCGAGGAAGATTACAATGAACCTGGAGAGGAAGGTGGGGTTTATACTTTAATCTTTAGGTTAAGGTTAATAATCTCGAATTTCGTGCAAGGGTCGACAGTGAAGTTTGTCATTCCAGTTACTTTGTTAGTTTTTCTGCAACCTTTCTTAGTCCTGTTTGCGCTTCATGAAGCAGGTAAGTGCTCATACTAAAGTGAAGCTTATTTACTGCCAAATTTCAGCTCCTTTGAGCTAATTTATTTGCAAATTATGAGCAGAACCACAGCCGGCGAATGATGCGACCCCAAAAATAGCGAAGGTAGAGCCGACAGCAGGAGATTCCGAAGGAGAACCTCCGTTGAATGAAGACGACGATGATGATTTGGATGATAACGATCAAGGGGATGAGGAACCTCAAACTGACCACCTTGTCCTCGCTCAATTCGATAAGGTACAGTTAACAGTTGTGGCATTTGAGACTGGGCTTACTGCAGTATGCATTTCGTATGGGCTCTCAAAGCTGCATTGTCTGATATGTGAACCCGTAAGGTTTCTTTGTACTATGTGAAAGTTACCTTTAGACTGCTTATTACATCTCACCTTAACGTCTGCGATTTTCTCAACTATTTGCTGTGTCTAACGAATGTAGGTAACAAGGTCGAAGAATAAATGGAAGTGCACGCTAAAAGATGGAATCATGCACTTGAATGACCGAGATATTCTCTTTGTCAAGGTGAGCATAACTTACCTAATCATTCTAGTTACATTTATTGTATTTTTCTTCTCTTGAGATCATAGTTGCTATTTAGTTTTTTATGCTTATCTAGCTTCTCGAATTACCTCATAGTCCAGTGTTTTGAAACAAGGCTGTGTTTCATAGCTGGAAATTCGAGGGAATTCAACGCAAGGTATTCAAGGTTCATAGTCTAAGATTCTGACATGACAGTTGAGCCCTGTTTACTCTCTTGAGTTAATCATGTTTTCCTGCCTCTGTACCTGAGGAAACTGATTGCTCTACTTGGGAATGTTTGCTGGAACAGGCGACTGGAGAGTTCGAATTTTGATAGCTTGAGAAGTTGCAAAAGACACTTTACACAAACCAATGGCTATTGGTTCCATTTCTCTCAGACGTGTCTTGCTTACTGATTTTTGTTGCGGAGTGTCAAACATCCGGCAACCACACTAGCTCAGAAGGTCACGAGCAAGTCAACGCGAGGTGTGCGAAAGTCGGCCTAATGTTGTGGTCTGACAGCGGGCCATCTTATCCTTATCCAGTAGCACCATTGGAAGAGCTCATTTTGGGGAGTAGACTCGTCGAGGCAGTTCATGGGTAAATACATAGTTTTACTGCCCCGCAGTCTCAACAATATTGTGTCAATTCAACCCATTCGAGAGTCTTGATTGAGCTGATTCCTGTAAACCTCCCCCGTCGGTACCGTCTTTGTTGTCAATTGTTGGGACCTATTACCAGTCTCCTGCAGGACACAGGTGGAGGGAGGTATATTGGATTGCGGAATCTAGTCTCACCCTGTATATTAACACTAGTTAGTGTTCTCTTCTCGGGAGAGAGTTTTGCACTAACTGAGCTGGCTGCAATTGCTAAATAAAAGGACCAGAGGAAGTGAATGTGAACTTTGGAGTGTCTGGAGTCGGGAATCCGTGTGGACAGCGAAGTTCATCATGACGTTGGCGGAAGAGCACATAGATACTGCGTAGCATTCGTAGTCCAGATCAACTGTATTAGCAGAAGGACAATCACAGTCAATTGCCCGAGTAGGACTCGTCAGAGTTTCATGTCATTCATGATGAGAATATTTTTGACTCAAATTGGAGTACCGGAGAAAGGGTCGTTTATCATGTACTTTGGAACTTTGTAAGATGTTTACAAACATTAAATTCCATCTATTGGACATGTTCTTCGGGTGAGTGGTAGATTTACTGAAGTTATGCATAATGCGCACACAGTTCGTGTGCCCAAAGATTATGAGCAAGCAACGCATTGCTACGGTAGACTCACAATACGCCAACCTTCGCCAGAACGCCTCTACTGGTTCTACTGTTATCTCCCGGAGCCTAAAAATTGTCATGTTGCATGAGTTATCGGAAAATGGAAGTGGAGAGTGATCGGTGTGACTCTGGATGAGCATTATATGTTCCTGGAACACGATGTAACGTCTCCTTGATCACTTACTGCCGAAATCACTCATTCACCGACCCTCGAGAGAACAGATTGTCTCTCCTTACCCGCTGTCGTGGAAATTATTATCTCCTAGTGATATTCCAGGCACTTGCAGACTATTCCAGATCAATAAATCGCCTGCACGAAGTGTGGAGGTTTCACTTTTTGGCCCAAAGTTATACTGTACATCTCCTCGCAATAATCGAATCAAAACATTCAAAGTCATCATGCTCTACGTTCACCTGTTGGAATTTGTTATTAAAATGTCTCGTCCTAGATGTCATCTAGCTGCACCACCGAGGTAGCTTTCGTTATGATAGTGGTGGCGGCCATCTTTTATCTCTTCCTCTGCAAAGTCCACATACTTTTCCAAATACTTTTGCACCGTGAATGTTCCACAGTGATGCAAGCTATAGATCATCGACACCTCCTGGATTCAACTGCCTCAACATGATTGAGCCTTGAATGATTCCGGGCATCTCAAGGGTAGGTGTTGATTGCGCACCAAATTTATTGGGAACTGTCCGTGCCAACTACCAGAAGACTGTTCCCGAACTGAAGTACTGGCTGGTTGTTGACATTGGAAATTTAGATCATATCGCTGACAGCACATCTGGGAATGTTATGAAAGGGAGCTTCTCCCAAGACTCTCGTACTGGTTTCAACACCTTGAAATCCCTATAAATAAACGTGAAGCCCCTCACACTTAACTCATGGTATTAATCACTTTAATGTGCGCGTTTTGCTCCGAGTTTTAGTACCATTTTCTTCACTTAAGTAATCTTCGGCAAACTACAAATTACTGGTTTCTATCTTGAGGCTGTTGTGAATAAGCCACGAGGGTATAGCCATCAATATCACATTCATAAAATCATACTTTCTAAATTGTACGAACTTCGCTGCAAACATTTTTGCCAAGGTGGAAAGCAAGACGTAAGGCAAATAGGCGATGGCCCTGCGTTTGTTTCCGGCAAACTGATACCAATTGGCGTATCCGCGCAGTTCGGTTCTTCAAACAAGTGGTGTTTCCCGAAGTTTTCCTTTGTTGAATTCGTTTACCATTATTGTAGGAAGCCTGAAATTTATTCTTAACTGTGGTATTCATTTTTATTTGGATCTTGGAATCACATCTATGATAGTTAAAACAGCTTGCAAAATTTAAAAACCTTACCCGCTTTATTGCCATTATTATTATTGTGTACCTCTATTGAAACAGAATGGTTTCATGTTATTTTATTAATGATAAGTTTCCTTTAAAAAAATTTCTTTAGTCCCTTTCTGGTCTCAATTACTTAACAGTATTTACTAACAAAATGATTCCAAATTCTTCTCACCATTTTCCCTCTCCATTTGGTCGACTCTAAACACAAAGAGTTAAACTGTTCACGCTGTCGTGAAAAAGACCTCGGCATATATGATGTAAATATTCCAGCACTTCTCCATCTCCCCCTCACTATTTATAAACTGTTCTGATTATTGACTTTCACTATGCGAAAATATCTTCGAATAATTTTCTTATCGTATCCAAATATTACGAACTGTCTAATCTCTCATGATCTAACGTGATTGATATGAACTTCATAACAACAAAAGTAGAAAATTCTTTCCCCTACATTATCTTGTTGAGATGTCATCACCATTCATGAGCCTTAGATTCTCTCATATTATTCTACATTTGATGTCTGTCCAGATGCCTCTCCCCTTCGCTCTTGTTATGGCTTCTTGGCCTGGTACACTGCTTGGCCAAATGAGATACACACCAGTCTCTCACAGGAAGGGTAAGGAGGAGATGTGAACAAGAATATTCATCAGCAACATCCACTCTTTTGAGCTTCCAAGAATCCCAAAATTCCCAACATGAGGCCAACGACGTGCATGAGCGGATCAAAAGGTTACGGGACTAGCTCTAGAGCGTCATCAATACTGACCACTCATGGCTAGAGCTTTTCCAGGATCTGCAGCAAGGAAATTTCGAACACACATCAACTCAGATGTTGCGCCCTCAGGATAGCTAGGTGCAAAGTCTAGACTACAGGAGGCGACGTCGATTGGTGCGTTATCACAACAGTCAAAAGTGAGAACTCCTCGCCTCGGCGTCAGGAGCAGATACTGCAAGGCGATAAAGAAATCTGCACAGCTGCGTCTCGTCGCTCGCTCCAGCAGAGCCTCTCGAGCATCAGATAAGCAAATGTGGCCAGACATTTCTCGCGAGTCCCGAGCAACGTTCGACCGGACGTAGGCTAAGACCTACGACGCAGTTCACTTCGTTGTGGTCTTGTCGGTCAACTAACCTTCCGTGCGGTCGTCTACAACCTCTGTCTTTCCCCATCCATGAATTTCTAGTTTGATCAGAGCGCTGATTATTATTAATTTACCTTTCTTCGTTGCAGCTCTTTGTCTCCCACCTCGTCCGACCTTTGTATGATGCTTTCACTCGTCTAGTAAACGAACCAAGATTTGTTTGTTTCCGCATCTTTGATTGTTTCGACTCATACCTTCTCATTCTCTTTTGAGACTCCCTTTTTGCTATTTACATTGACTCCCCTCCTCCCGCAAATAACTTTAGAAACTTTTCTGATGAATGGTCTTGCCATCGTTCTTTCTATTCCATGCATCTCACTTTTTTCTACGTCGCTTGATCGTCAGTGAGTTCAGATTTTTGTTATTCCTTTTGTTATACCATGCATCTCACTTTTTCCCTTTTTCTCTTTTTCTTGCTTGTCTTTGAGATTAAATTTGGTTTGACGGAAGTTACTGGATTTATCGATGGGCAGCGAACCTTGTTATTCAACCATGAGACTTTGAGTGAATGGAATGAAGTAGGGAAATTCCAATGCTGCACCAGGAGTAGTGAAAGGATGCCATGATCTCTCCGTAGAAGGCAAAGGAAGCCACACAAAAAAATTACCCTCGAGAGCTAGAGGCTAATGAGACGAGGACCTTCACGCTCTGAATAACATGTCTGCTTGTCCATTCGCCCTTCGACTTGAGTCGAGATGTCCAACGGGGATGAGAGATGCAAAGTGTATATATATATATTATATCGGCCTGGATTGTATTGCTACGATTCTATTTACGTCCATCGGCTGTAGTACTGAAGCTAATATGCCAGTGATTACTCCACGTTATATCCATGTTCCAGCTCGCTCGCTCGATTCTTCTGAAAATATACAATAAAAGTCAATGTCATGAAATACATGTGTGTGCTAGTTATGGTGAATTCTAAGATCAAACACAAGAACGTACTATTGACTTGTGAACAAAATTTTTAAAATTTTGTTCAAAAGTCATCAAAAGGAATCAGCCTGCATCACAGTAATACATATGCGAATATCATATCTGTCTTGGTCAAAGGCAAATAAGTTTTTCATTATATCATGAGACGTGATTTTTCATGCTTAAAGCAACATATCCTAATAAAATAAAAGTGGATGGTTGTAGATATTGGTATCTGTCTTGGTCAAAGGCAAATAAGTTTTTCATTATATCATGAGTCATGATTTTTCATGCTTAAAGCAACATGTCCAAAAAAAATAAAAGTGGATGGTTATAGGTATTGGTATCGCCAAGATCTTGGTAAAAAAGCTGCAAATATAATCCTCTACAAAGTCCAGCAGCTTTCAAGCAAAAATAATTTGATGATTAAAAAATTATTTTCAATTGTTGATAAATTCGATCCAATTCCTCACTCTTAAAACTATGAACGCCTATGATATATATATATATATACATATATATATATTTATTTTGATGAAAGATGAAGTCCGCTTTTCAAATAATCAAATAATTTTCCTTTTTTCATTCTAGGAAAAAAACCATAGATTGCAATGACTATTATTTTCAATAAAGTTCATTTGTTCTTCTTTCTTTGAAAAAAACATCTTCATAAAATCATTTAAATTACATATTTTAGACAATCAATTCTTAGTCTTAAGTGCTTTTAATGTGTCAAATTATATTTTACTGGATAATTAAGCAGTATTTACACTAATTCATTAGCAAGATTATCTTTGAAACTCTATTAAATTATCAAAGATAAAACTAGATTTTTATAATACTAGAATACAAATTAGAAAAATTATGAAAACATAGAATAGAAAAATTCTTTCAATCAGGAAAATAAAGACATACATTTTAAAGTTTAACTATATGATAAATAAAAATATCATCTGAAGAATACCATTTATGACATTCATACATCACAAGGTAGGTATCTTGGAAACAATCATTTTATTACACTACATTTATAGTTTGAGCATTTATGTACAAACGTTTGTTGAATCAATCTAGATTCAAAATATTGTTGAACATTTACACACTTAATACGTTATCACATTGCATCTACGCTTCATATCCTTATTCAAATCTAAGAATTAGAAAACTGATATCATCAATTTCAAAGAGATTCCACTTCTATGTTTTTATCACAATTTTTATTCCTCCCATCATTGCATACTTTAGAATAAATATTTGAAAACAATTTCAACAAATTTAATCTAAATGTTTCACAAAATTGACAAATCACGTTCATGTATTTTACGCAATGCAAATTTTCAACAAGTAGATTTTCTTTTTATCATAAATGTAAGGTTAGTCAAATTCATCTTTAAAGTATAAATTACTATCTAAAAACTATCATTTATTAAGAGATGAAATCTTTGCATCATATTTGTTTTATCAGGATTGTATATCTTTCAACTAGTTTAATATGAAACGCTGATA